AAAATGGATATTTATGTTTTAATTTTAAATAAAATATTTTATTTATACACATATATGTCTGTGAGAGATCGATGTTCATGATCCCCATCTTTAAATGGCCCCAAGTATGTTTGACAAAGAGGGCTTCTATTGTAGCTTTACTTACCATTGACCTGCACTGCCTGCTCAGGAGTGGTTTATGCATCAGCCTCCCTACAAGCTCTCGGAGGGATGGCACTTGCTGGGGCTTATTTGGTTTTTTATTGTGTGTGTGTGTGTGTGTGTGTGTGTGTGTGTTTTGTTTACCAAGAATTTATGGAGAACCATGAGAAAAGACTCCGTCTTTGAAACAGTGGTTTGAAAAGAGAGAAAAGGCGATGTCAGACAGCTGGATGGATGAGGGAGTCATGACCTCCTGGTGCTCTGCCCTTTCTGGTGGACCTTTTCTCTCACTGCCCCTGAAGGTGGGACCCTGCCATCAGGGGGTTCCTGAGAGGCAGGAAGGCTGGATACAAACCGGGAAATGGGCCCGGCTTTTTCAACCTCAGGCCCATCCAAGGATGCGGAGGCCAGCCTTGGGTAACGTGGGTCCAGATGACAGAAGGACCTCTTGACCAAGCTCAAACAGTTCTGGGTCCTAGTTCTTATCAGTCAGATGGGAGGGACTTTCAGAGCTATGAGGAGAACACATTTCAAATCCTATTTTAGTCATGCCCTCAGCTTAATCAGCCATAGAAGTGGCATGCTTGATGTTTGTCCTGCCCCTTTGTGTGTGCTATGTGTGTACTTTGTGTGTGTGTGCATGTGCATGCATGCATGTGTGTGTGCATGTGTGCGTGTGCGTGTGTGTGCATGTGTATGTGTGTTGGAAGGCCTTCCATGATGGCTACTTCAGTTTCAACCCAGACACAGCAGCCTCCTGAGATGAGATGCTTTCTTTTCCTTGCTACCTAAGGAATACAAGCAAACTGGTGGAACCAGACAAATAAGAAGCCCAGCTTCATTTTAGCCATCCCAGGAGGATCATTTAGCTGTTCAGCCTTCTCTCCGGCTCAGCTTCATTGTTGCTGAAAGTGTGGGTCCCCGCAGTGCACAAAACCATGGAAACCACTGTTCTCACTCCGCCGAAGCAGAGGGACCTCAGTAAGGGGAGACGGGTGAGAGGGAAGGGAGAAGGGCAGGCACCGACACAGGAGCTTAATTTGGTTGCTCTGAGGAGTAACTGGACCCCTACCCAGGGGATCCCCGATCCCCGCAGATAAAGAAATCGCAGGGGCATGAGTCATCCCTATTTTAGAAGAACACAGGGATTGGGGGCCTCCTTTATCAAGAAATAGGCCCCTGAAGCACACAGTGCATGCCTGGCTGAAGTCTGGGGTCAGCTTCAGGTTCATTCTCTGTGTAACCAGGGGATTCAGTGAGAATTGACTGGCGCTGTCCATGTGGAGTCCCTACCAAACACTGTTATCTCAGAAGCTGGTTTAATGGGACCGGCTGTCAGGGGCTTATTAGAAGTAACGAGTACAGCACCTTTGGGAGCAGAGATACAAAGGGGAGTGTGCGGCCAGGCCCGGGGCACCTCAGGCCTTGTGTGGCTCAAAAGGCAAGCCTGAGGCCCAGCTGCAAGCCCCACGGTGAGTGTCCACCACCAGGGACAGGCCCAGGTCATCCCAAGAAAGAAGGCACTCACTCCGTTTTGAAAAATGGATTTCTTCCATGTTTAGAGTGGATTAAGAGTTTTATTGATCTTAAAAAGAAAGCAGTTAACAGGACCAACTCTAGTTAGACTGCGAGGGTTTGATTCTTAGCTTTTCTACCGAGTAGTTGAGTGACTGTGTAATTTAACTTGTCTTTGGGCCAGTTTCCCTATCCACAAAATGGGAATAATAATAGTTCCTAACTCACCGGGCTTCTGAGGAGACTAAATGAACTGATATGCATAACGTCTTACTCGTCATGTGCATAATGTAATTGATTGTAGTGATCACTCTTTTCATAGAAAAGACTTCATCCCCTTCTATAGCTTTTCTGTCCACATCATCTCTACACTATTAACCACAGCATAGATTTGGAATGAGCTGCATTCACAGGATATTCTGAATGGAAGAGCTCATGACTGTAATCAAAGGGCCATTTTGAACTCTGACTTTGCAAGGATAGGGATGTGATTTTATTGCACAAGCCGTTGTCCTCCCTGATCCACATTTCTAAACTGTGTGCGTGTGTGCGTGCGAGTTTGTGTGTATCCCTTGCTTTAAGGATGCCAGTCACGCTAAAAGGTTGATGGTTCGGGCAGAAGTTGCCCTCCTACAGTTGGTAATTGACTGTTTTTCAGGAAAGTTTTACTTTATCGGCGAATTTAGGACTTTTTCTTTTCCTTCCAACAATTCCTTTGGCAGTCTTATTTTTCTGTTGGTTTCATTTTGTTCATTGCCAGTAATCTCTAAACATTTTTGCCCGACAGCCTGTGCCACAGGTGACCTAACTCTTTGCAATCATGTAGCCTTTGCTTGATTTCAATGTATAATCCGCAATTTCCAGGCCTTGTGGGACTGAGCCCTTAAACTGAGGCGTCTGCACTAACCTCTCTCGGTCAGTGTCAGATCTGAATGGAATTGTAGGGCACTCAGCGGGTGTCTGCAGAGTCAGAGAATCAGTTGGTGTGGGTGAACAAACATACACTGGGTGTCAGAAATGTGAATAAAAACAGTTCCTAATTATGCCCACCCTTTAAGAGTTCTATCCAGTGGTCCACAGTAATTATGAGGAGGGGCTCAGCTACTCACATCCACCTCCCCGAGTCCGCTACCGCTGTGTTCCTCAGATGCTCCTAGGTACTTTACAAGCACTCCTTTCTAGTTTACGCTTGTTTGGATCTAGCTGAACTCCCTAAAAATGGTTTCTCTCTTTATCAAAATCAACCAGTGTCTCCTCAGTGCACACCCATTGGGATAGCTACAATCCTGAAGACAGGTGATAAGCATTGTTGAGGATTCGGGGAAATCAGAACGCTCTTGCCTGCGGGGGGAGTGTAAAGTGGTGCAGACACTTCGGGAAGCAGCCTGCAGTTCCCCCAAAGGCTACACACCGAGTTTCTATATGACTCAGCAATTCTTCTACTAGATGCACACCCAATAGAATTGAAAATGTATGTCCACTCAAAAGTAAGACTAGCATATCCATAATAGCCAAAAGTGAAAATAACTCAGATGTCCATCAACTGATGAACGGATATGTAAAATATGGTATATCCATAAAATGAATATTAGCAATAAGGAAAAAAATGAAATACAAAAAAAAAAATGCTACAACTAGGATGAACCCCGAAAATACTATGCTAGGTGAAAGAAGCCGTCACAGAAAATCATGTTTTATGCTTCCATATATATGAAATGTCCAAAGTAGGTAAATCCATGGAGAGAGAAAGTATGGATGGGGGAAAGGTCATGGGGGGGCGGGGGCAGTTTACAGGGAAATGGGGAATGACAGTTAATGGGCAAATAACAGTTTCTTATTGGAGTGATAAAAATGTTCTAATATTGATTGTGATGATGATTGTACAGCTATACAACAATGTGAATATACTTATAGCTATTGAGTTGTAAACTTTAAACAGGTTAACAGTATCGTATGTAAGTACTATCTTAAAACTGTTCCCCCAAAAGAACTCAGGAACGCAGGCTTTGGATCCAGGCTGCTGTGTTCAAGTGGCTGCAGAAGCTCCGGGGCCCTGAGACAGGGTTGGGTGCAAGCACTGCATTTGGAAAAGTATCCCAGGACGCAGTCGGGAAGTAGAGAAGTGACATGGGGAAGGAGGGAAGCCGAAAGGGGGCCCTCACTGAGTGACTAACAGCTGTGGGCAACTGGGACTCCGTCCTGCTGGGACCCCCTGGGAAAGCTATGGAGACCACAGTTCAGAATCGCTCTCCCACGGGTTGAGCAAGCTGGGCTGTTCCTGTGAGTGCTGACTCCCCGGCCTGCTCCGCACAGAGGCCAAACATGCTCCCACAATTGGAGAAAGCCCTCGAGAGACACAGAAACAAAGAGACATACAGAGAGAGAGAGAGAGAGAGAGAGAGAGAGAGAGAGAGAGAGAGAGAGAGAGAGAGAGATATCAACTACTTGGGGTAAGAAGCAGTCAGGGTACATGGGAACAGTTCCCCAAACCTGTGGGCACTGTCCAGCGTGACTGAGCAGGCGCAGGCAGAGCATTGGCAACACCTGCTGACAGGAGCACTACTTATCCTCATCCCTGTACTGGAGGAGATAATAGCTCCAATCTCATATGAGTGATGTGAGGATTAATGCGTTAACTCGGTATTGAAGAAAGTCAAACATGCCCACCTCTAATCTTTTTTTTTTTTTAACTTCTTACTTACCCACCATCCTCCTCCTCTGCATGAGCTTCTAACAAGATAGAGAATGCATTCATCTATTGTATTATACGTTTCCAAAAGAAATAGAATCGTCGCTGAGAGGGGTCTTCTTATGAGGCCCCCTTTGAGTTGTACTGACTTTGAATGGCTGCCTTTTGAAATGCGCCATCTGTGTTGTCAGCACGGGAGAAAGATGCCTATCCCAGCATGTTCTGTGATCGGAGAGCTCTGTCATCTTTCTCAGTCTTGCCGTCCTGCTTCATGGAAACTGTTGGCGGCATTCAAGCGAGAGAGGCTAATCGCAGTGCTCTTGTGTTTTCCCATGTCTCCTCCGGTTTTCCCAGGCTGTGTTCTGAGGACAGTAGACCCTGGGGAGCCTCCTCTCTGCAGTCTGGGGATTGCAGCCAGCGGCTGCGGTCCCAGGCACTGCTGAGTTCTGCTTCTGTCAAAGACATTCATAGTCAACGTTTCATGGCTCGTGAGTGACTGAAGCAGCCCACTGAGTGAACCGCTGGGGGAAATAGGGTTTAAAAAACATGCCAGTTGTGTTACATCGAGCTCAGGCTGCATTGACTGAAACTTAATTTCAATATTTGTTCACCCAAGAAAATGCCTCTGCGTTGTTTCAGGCTGCGACGCTTTGAGTCACCTGACATTTCACCGATCCAAAGCTGCCGTGGATGCACTCTTCACGTCGCTCCGGGACATTGCCGGAGCTCGGAGTCTCATGAAGCAGTTCAAGTCTGTGTATGTCCCTGGAAACCATACCCACCAGGCAAGTACTAGTACATACGTTATAAAGGAACCATGTAATCCGTGTGGCATCTTTAGGATTCAAAGAGTATAAGAAACATTTCCATATTAACCTCTCTAAAGTGAGGGGTCCGTCCTAGATGAACTCCAGGTCCCTTTCCCATTCAGAGTCCTGGGTTCCCCTGCGTCTAAATGCATTCCAAGCCCTGCAGGTGTGGCTCCGTGGTTGGGCATCGACCTATGAACCAGGAGGTCATGGTTCAGTTCCCTGTCAGGGCACAGGCCAGGGTTGTGCGCTTGATCCCCAGTAGGGGGCATGCAAGAGGCAGTAGATCAATGATTCTTTCTCATCATTGATGTTTCTATCTCCCACTAAAATTAATAATACACTTAAAAAATAAAAATACAGGCTATGTTAGGCCTGATGTCCTTTAAAAAAAATAAAAAATAAAAAAGCATCCCAATGCATTTGTACAGGAGGCCTGGTGTAGTGATGTGAGTGATGTGTGGGACAGTCGCCACTTTATAACTATAGCTGTCGCAGCTTCCTCTGTAACCTTAGGCAAGTCTCTTCCCTTCTTTGTCTCTAATTTCTACAGATGCCACATGAGGAGCTGGCCGTTAGTGATTCCCAACTTTTTGGATCTAAGCAGTCCATAACATTCTGAACAATTAGAATAACAAAATTGCCTAATAGTATTATGGCAATGGGGAAAAAAATGGTGGTGGTAGCAAAAGCATTTGTTACTTGAAAGCCCCTCACTGCTCTCTAAGGAGGAGGGGGAGTGTTTGACTGGTGAGTAGGAAGATGTAAGGAATCCATGAATGAAGGAGTAATTGCTCTCTGAAAACCCAGCAGGGGGGAGCTATAGAAAGCCAAAGGGAAGCTTCAGCTTCAGGAGTGAAGGAAGACAGGAGCCCAGGAAGGAGACAGAAGCCAGGCTCCTGGTGGCCACAATGAGCTTTCAAGGAAGAGCAGGTGTCTCTGATGGGACAGGTCATTGAGCTTTGCTTGTGCGTGTGAAGGAGCCTTCTCCTCCATCTCCCATGAAATCTCCACTGAAACCCACTCTAGTTGCTAAGAGTGAAATGTTTTGTCAGTGAAGACTGAAAAGTTCAGGATGCTGGCTTTAAGGCAGGCATGTACATGAGAGCCAAGGTGACCCCCTGCAGCCCAGCAAAACACAGTCTTCCCCCCATACATTCATGGAGCAGCTAATACTGAAAGAGCACTCCTGCCTTCCATGTTTCCTTTCATTCTCATGACAAGTAAGCCAGAGACATGCCGTTATCCAGATCTAGGAAGGCCAGGGGACTTCCCACAGGCACACAGGTCAGCCAGATGCCAGGACTTCACTGCCAATACAAAATCTCCTCTCTTCCTGTACTGTGGTTCTCATGGAGGCTACAGAAATATTCATTGATGGTGCTGATGGGCATCACCGTCTTTTATATCACCCATTAAGATATAAAAGACCTTAGAAACTGGCACTCAATTTAGAAACTCAAGTTCCCATCCTTCATTCAGTGATCTAAAACATCTCTTCCACAAACACAGGTGCAGTCACTCAGATAATTAATTATATGCCATTTTGCTATTTTTTAAAAAAAGCAATCTTGCCCTAGCCGGTTTGGCTCAGGGAATAGAGCATTGGCCTGTGAACTGAAAGGTCCCAGGTTCGATTCTGGTCAAGGGCACATGCCCAGGTTGTGGTCTTGATCCCAATGGGGGAATTGCAGGAGGCAGCCAGTCCATGATTCTCTCTCATCATGGATGTTTCTATTTCTCTCTCCCTTTTCCTTCCTCTCTGAAATCAATAAAAATATTTTTTAAAAATAGCAATCTTAAATACTGTGGTATAGACTAGTTCCACAAGACATGATAGAACTGATGAAATTTAGACCAAAGAATGTCAAGATGTGAGTAGATACTAGAGTTGGCAAAGGGGAAAACAGACCACTAAATTAATGAGGTCTGTTCACTGTTATGATCATCATGGTGACTGATTTGGCCAATTTCACATAATTATGCATTCGCTATAAATCTGGGGCATGGTAAGGACAATGATAAGCTTCCTAGACTACATCTCCCTGATGCCAACACTCTCATTTCTCCAGGCCTCAGAGCCCTGGAAAATGAGTTTTCCCCGATGAAACATGGGGACAAAGGGTGGGGGGCAATGTGTGTGTGTATATATCAAGGGGATTAAATAAATAATGATAGAGAGACAGTGGAGTGCTGTGCAACCATGACAATGAATGGGATGGATCTAAGTGTCCTAAGCAGAGACTATATTTGAACCCATGTCTCAGGCTCTGCTTCTCAGAAAATTCTAACTAAAACAGAGGTGCATGATCTATTATGTGAAAAAAATACATGTTGTAGATCATTCCATAAAGCATCTTTCTATTTTGGTTAAAAAATATAATGATAAAAAGTATATGGGTTTGTATATTTATTCAGTCTTTAAATTTTTTGGAAAAAATTATAATGGTTACTTTGTGAGGGATGGGAAGGGTTGGATGGACAAGGAGGACCTGTGATGACTCTGTAATTTATATATTACTCTGTATTTGCATTATTTAGAGAAAACTGTTTGGATGTGATTATGGGTAAATTTTACCTATTTTGTTTTTTTAATATTTTTCCAATTTAAAGAGGTTTTAACACAGATTTTGGTCTGGTTTGTTCACTGCCATACCCTTAGTGACTAGAGTGGTATCTTGCACATAATAGATGTTTAATAAATATTTGTTGGGTTTATCTTGTATGCAATGCACATATCTTCATTACATATCAGAAGATTTGATGGGACACAAAGTGCATGTAATTAGAAAAAGACAAATGTTCAGACCAGAATCAGAGTCCAGTTGTGTCTAGTTTTAAAGACAGGTCCTGGCTGAGCAACTTTCTGTCCATTTCTCCTCCCAGTCTGGTCCTCAGCCCTGTGGCTCCAGGAAAAATGTTTGCTTTCTGTCTAGCCGGTTGAGATGCCTAGGCATCCCCAGGACACCTGGGAGGGCTCTGGGCCTGGTCCGGCCCTGGGTTCCAGTCCAGCTCTGAGCAGCACTGCAGATCTGGGCTCTCCCTGGATCTCTGTCCCCTGCCAGCCCCTCCCTCCCAGTGCAGCCTGCACGAGCGGCCGCTCATAGCCACTCACTCCTGTGTCTTTTGTTTATACTAGAGACACCTCTGGCTTAACGTCATCATTTAGCCCTTTAGGAAAAAGTGTCTGTCACAGCTCAGATACAAAAAGCAGACATCCCTCTCCTTGTTTCAAGGAGACTGGTTTCATACAAAGAATTAAGTACATATAAAATCTCTGGGCTTCCAGAAATGAGCCCCTAACATCAGCACAGACCTGGCCCTCCCCTGGCGCAGTCAGGAGAGGGGTGAGGGGGGCCAAGAGGCTGCTGTGGGAGCACCTGGCTGGAGGAGCACACCACCAAAGCTGGAGGCAGAGCTGCGCTCAGTGCTTGCCACCCAGCAGGCCAGTGGGTGGGTGGATCCTGGACGGGGGGTCTTATCCAGCATGGATGGTATTTCTTATGTTCTCCATGGTTAGTGAAAGGGAGGTTAGCACAGAGGTTAACAGAACAGTCTGAGACCCTGAGCTTTTGGATCCATAGCCCACCTTTGCCCCCTACGAGCTCTGTTACCTTAGGCATGTTGCTTCCCCTCTCTGTGCCCGGCTCCTCCTCTGCAGGAAGGAGCTAATAACAGTCACTCCCTATACAGATGCCCTAAGGCAGTGTTTCCCAAACTTTTGACATATGTGTACCCCTTCTATAATTTTCGTAACGCTGAGTACCCCTCGTACTCATGAGAACGAAGAATTAGGCGCAGCTAAGCACGGTGCAGTGCATATCCCCACCAAACTCCGGTGTAACGCATACCCTCACCAAACTCTTCCCGTACCCCAGGGGGTACGTATACCACACTTTGGGAAACACTGAAGGATTAGGTGAGTTCATTTACATAAAGCTCTCGGGACAGGAGCCGACACGTGGGCAGCACTATGTAACATTTGCTGTGAAGGACAAAGTAGGCCTTCTTGTCCTCTTTTGTAGCATTTCGCCTTTCCCTTTGCTAAGGAGATGGGCTACACAGACAGTGTGACCCTCAAGCGGATTGCCCTGCTGGCTGCTGTGCGAGGAAGGGGTTCATTGCTGACACCAGTGTGACTGGAAAGGTCCTGTTTGTTCGCAGACACTGTTGGCTAGAAACCTAAGCCCCAGTTTTGCTGATGCAGCGAGTCTTATGTGTTCTGTTTCAACTGTTCCAGTTTAACAGGAGGTTCCACCTCCTCCCCAGTGCCAGTCCTCAGTGGGCTGCGCTCCTCAGCAGCGGCAGCAGGGAGTATCAGGCATGTCTCAGGGCCAGGAGCTGGCGAGCCCCTTCGGAAAGAAATGCCATATGGCTCTCGCACGACTTGCTTTGGCAGAGGTTTCGCAGCGCCGTGCTGTGTCGGGGAAAACTTTCCACAGATGCGTGCCGTCTTCCGTGCCTCTGGCATGTTGAGCAAGGGCATTGCGAAGCAGCCGTGCCCAAGGAGGCTTGTTTCATCCTGTGTCTGGTGAAATGTGGCTCTCTAAACAGTCTGTTGGCCCGTCTCGGTCACACCCCTACCCTGGCCACCAGGTGCTCTTTTCCAGGCGCTGCACTCTGTTCTTCGTCCTGACTGCCCCTGAACCCAGACCTGCTAGTGTCCTTTCTGAAAGAAGCAGAGGAGCCAGGAGTAAACTGGGGTCTGGGAAAGCTGCCCTCCTTCACTGCTTCTGAATGCCTCTGTGAACTCGCGCATCCTAGTGCTAGCTCTGGGCATTGGTGTCCTCACATTGAAATGGAAGGGGCTGCACTCAAAAACATTGTAAGTGCATCATCTGCTTCTCCTTTGAAGGATGGATGAATGGAAGGATGGATGGATGGATGGATGGATGGATGGATGGATGAGCAAACCATTTTCTTTAAGTAAAAGATGAAAGGAGGAAATATCTTAGTATAGCAAAAAATAAAAATAAATAAACCACCGAATAGTCAAAGCCATGAGCAGATTTGAACAGATGTTTTGAACAGTCTTGGACTGCAGAATGAATATTGTCTCTACACGTCTACACGTTTTCCCAAGGCGTTGGTTGTTGAGAGTCAATTTGGCAGAAAAGGCAGAAGCATCTGCAGGAGCAGGACTGAGTCCCTTGCTGCACCGTCACCAACCGGCAAAGCGAGGGCAGCAGCCCTGACCCATGGGATGTGGCTGTGGCAACAACTCAGATTTTCTTGGAAACTAATCCTGGGCCACCTTTAATGTGCACCAAATTCAAGAAGACACTGGAGTTAAGCTAGTTTCTTAAAATTATCTCTGACGTGTATCCTGGCAAACTCCTGCTATGTCAATACTTTTATTGGGTCAATAAAAGTCTTCTAGACCTACTCACACATTATCTCCGTCACAAAAGAATAACCAAGGACACAGACATAAATATTTTATTTTTCATAATTTAATTAAATATGGCATTGTTAAAAGGGCAGTTTGTTCTAGAAGACATACTGGCCATTTAAAGAAAAAGAGTTTCTGGTATAAGATCACTTTTTGTAAGTGTAATTATTTCATATGTAATGCCCATCGGGGGTCTCTTTGGGCTCAAACAAACCTCCAGGCAGCCTCAGGACACTGTCATACAGGGTAATAGGATTTTCATGGCCCTATGCTGCTTTGAGTTTGTGGCCCCCTTTTTTTATAAAAATAAAAAATAGCATACATTTTATTATGCCATTGTATTGGTGTAGAGACAAGTATATAAATAGTATATATCAAAACATTTCTTTGACCTAAAAGTTCATTTTTTTCTTCTAATTTTACAAGAAATTACTGCATTTTCATGGGTCCCTAAAAGCCTCACGGGTCCTACGCAGGCTCTGTGTGTTGTATGCCTGGTGGGTAAGTTGGCTCTGTGGTCATAGCCCCCTCTTGACACCAGTCTGCCCAAGGCCGGGACACAGCTCACCATTGCCAAACAGTGGGCATTCCCCTTCCCTGTGACCACCATTACTCAGTTTGGTCCTGAGGTGACAGCTCAGGAGTGGGAGAACTAGACTCACTTTGGGGGCCGGGGTTGGGGGAGGGGGTGTTGGGGGGGAACAGTTCCCTGTCTTAAAGCCCTGGTCTCCCATAGGAGCCAATTTCTCTGGAACAACTGCACAGTATAGCTTCCAGCGTCCCTCCAAGGCACGTGCCCCATTATGCCAGTCTGCAAGAGTCATCAGACTCAGAGAAGCCCAAAGGCCTGCCTTCTCTCCAATATTTATAGTCCTCCCAGTCTAATGCAGTTAACCAACTAGGGGTCACTTTTATCCTAAGCAATCTTGCCTGGCTAGCGTTTGACATTCTTCCCTTATCAAGTTTCCAGGGAAACAGCTAAAAAGTTAACCAAAGGTCAAATTCTTATGCAGAAGGGAAAAGGTTTAATAGTACTTCGCCTACAACATGCGATTTGTCAGTTGTTAAGGGATTAATTATGTGCATGTTTCCATCCGACTTTACAATATGTCTGCAGCAGAGACAATGTATGTGGACCCCAAACTCCACTGCTTTTCCCCCTGGCACAGTGAGGCCACCTTTTCCAGAGTCCCTTCCAGGGAAATGTAGGTTTGTGATTAATTCTGGCCAATGAATTGTGGTAGGAGCGATACAGATCACTTTCGGGCAGAGCTGAAATCTCTCTGGAAACCCTTTATACTCTCTTACCTCATTGATGATGAGCTACAAGGGTGGGGACCTCGGGCCTGAAGGAGGAGGAACCTGGTGTCTGAGTGACTGAGGTGGGCACCGACCCCTACTGCCAACACACTCTGGATGTGGTGTAAGCAAGGGATAAATGACCAGCAAGATCAGGAAAGGATGAAAACGTCTGTGTCTTTAATTCCTCTCCTCTCCCCACCCCCCAATAAAGGAGAACTGGCAGGGAATGCTTGATTAGGAAAATTAAATTACTATGGTTAGCCCTGTTAATGTTGAGACAAACTACACGGCTCATCTCCCCTCCGGCCCTTTCTTAGCGTGCGAGGGAGACTTTGAGCAGGGCGCTGCGGAAGACATCCTGTCCCCCATCACCACCTTCCCTGTGGTCCTTTCTCAGAAGTGGGTAGCTTCTGGCTGAGTAGACAATTCCAGGACCATCTTCACTTTCATAGTGTCCCCTACTGTGGATGCACCCCTTTATTAAACAGCGCCCTAATGATAGGCCCTTGAGTTGTTTCCAATCTTTTGCTATTACAAACAATAAACAACTCTTTATGAGCATCATTTACATATATCAACATATTTAATATAGTAACATATCCTACAAGTGGAATAGCTAGGTCAAATGCAATTAATTGTAATATCGATAGGCTCTCCACACTAATTGTAGCAATGTACCCTTCCAACAGCCATATATGAGAATTTCAATTCATGATTGCCTCATCAAAAGTGTGTTTTCAAACCTATAGATTTTTGCATGTATGGTAAATTTTTAAAATTTCTCTGGATATAGCTTTATTATGAGGAAGGTTGATGTGTGTGTGTGCGTGTGTGTGTGTGTGTGTGTTATTTTCTGTCTTAACAGTGTTCCTGCCCAGTGCTTTACTTTCAAAAGCATTAACCTGTGAGATCTCTGGGAATGCAATGGTCTACTTGACCAATAAACATAAGCAGGCTACAACTGAGCAGTTGCCATTTTTCCCTGCATCTTATCCCTGACAAATGCACCAGATGGCTAAATGATTGCTTATGATTTTGATAGTATATGCCCTGCTTTATTTTTAAGATATTTTAGGTAAGAAAATAGGAATAAAGGTAAAATAAGAGTAAAAAATAAATGACAGTGAGGAAAGCAAGATGAAGCCAGAGATGAAGATAATGCACCAAATATCCTGGACACTTGCTAAAGGCAGCTCACAGTTTTGGCCAATACAAAGAGAGAAACAGGAGTTCAAGACATCTCACCAGTCCTCCTGGGAGCCTGGCTGTTCTGAGCCTGTAACAGACACGGTAGAGATAGAAGAGATTGAGAGAATGCATTGAGGGAAGTCATTCTTTCTCCCTTTATCCTTTATGCTCACACTGGGTGCCCTGTGGAACTGGAACAGCAGCGGCAGTCACAGGACTGGGAGGAAGGTGATCCCATTGATGGGAGGAAATGAGAGGAGGAGCTTGGTAGAAAGGAGAACCAAGGAAAGAGGTGGGGAGCATGCTCAGTTAGACCAGCTGCCTCCAAGTATTACTAAGTGTGGATAGGCTATTCAGGTCACGGAAAAGGAAAGCATTTAGCATTATTTATCAAAAGTTCAACTAAATTCTACTGAAATGTTTATAGTACCATGCGGCCTGCCTCTCTTCAGCCCTGACCTTAGTCGGATTCCTTTTTGGCACCTTGGCTGCTTTCTCCGTCCAAGTCCTACTTGGAGCTGAGCTCTGTAGAGGAAGGAGGGAATGCCTTGGGCTTGGATGACAACAAAACATTGTACGAAAACATTTTTTCTGCCTGCTGGTATGGCTCAGCTGGTGTGAGCGTCAACTGATGAACCAAGAGGTCACCTGTTTTATTCCCAGTCAGGACACATGTCTGGGTTGTGGGCTCGATCCCAGGTAGGGAGTGTGCGGGAGGCAGCCGATCAACATTTCTATCTCTCCTCTCTGCTCCCATCCTCTCACTAAAATAAATAAAGACATTTTTAAAAAGAAAGAAAGAAAACATTTGAGTTCCTAGCAGAAGGAGCATAGTTCTAACAAAGTTTAGGAAAAAACTGGATACCATCTATATGTGTATACCAAATGACAATACTTCGTTTTCCAGTGTACTTCATGCACAAAATCATCACTTTCAATCATAATTGAAACACTAACCATTCTGTGATTACAGCTCTAAGGATGAGAGAGTTGCTTCTATAAGGAATATGAGAAACATCACTTAGTGCTGAGGTACTGGGGTGAAAATCTACCAAAAAAATCCAGTGTTGTTATAATTGCCTTTTCACACACAAAACCATAGCCTTGGCTCAGTATCAAAATAACCTTGTTTTGTTTCCTTGGGTGCAGATAAAGCCATCCTCTCTCCAGACAAACCAGACAAACCCTGTTGCTCACAGTGTAATATTTTACCCTTCCAGGCATCCTACAAGCCGTTGCTGAAGCAGGTTGTGGAGGAAATATTTGATCCTGAAAGGCCAGATCCTGTTGATATTGAGCACATGTCGTCAGGCCTCACCGACCTCCTCAAGACTGGATTTAGCATGTTCATGAAGGTAAAACCGCCGCGGAGAGGTTATCCTGAATGGAATGCTATCTTTGCCGGCATGAAAATACTGGCACCCCCTTCACCCGCCCGCTGCCCCATAAGATACCGTGCAGTGTTTTGACTCTTCTGAAACCAGGTGCAGTCTTCACTTAACTGTTGGTGAAGAGCAGCCTGCCCTTCCAGCCTCCTCCGGTTTCTTTTGATCTACGCACTGGGATGTTTCCTGTGAAGGCACAGCCCTTCAGGGCAGGGTAGCCACATCCTCCCTGGCCCCATTCCCATGCCACACGAATCCATGTACCATTCTGCTGTTCCTGATTGGTGACAGTCTGCTGTTATTAGTTCTAGAGCTTATTATGCAGGATAATGAGGAACTTTGCACAGTCATATGGTTGGCATCTCCCCAAAACCCACTTTCTAAAGTCTTTTCACCTTTTTCACCCAGTCCTTCAACCTCCATCCCCTCTGACAGTTGTCAGTCAGTCTGTTATCTGTGTCTATGAGTCTGTTTACATGTTGTTTGACAGTTTATTTTGTTTGTTAGATTCCACATGTAAGTGAAATCATATGATAGTTGTCTTTCTCTGACTGGCTTATTTCACTTAGCATAATAACCTCCAGGTCCATCCATGCTGTCACAAAAGGTAAGACTTCCTTCTTTTTTATGACTGAGTAGTATTCCATTGTGTAAATGTACCATAGCTTTTTTATTTATTCATCTACTGATGGGCATTTGGGCTGCTTCCAAATCATTTTTTGTTTGTTTGTTTGTTTGTTTTTTATTTTTGTTGTTGTTAATCCTCACCCAAGGGTATTTTTCCTATGATTTTTAGAGAGAATGGAAAGAAGGGAAAGAAACAGAGAGGGGGGAAACATTGATGTGAGGAAGACACATGGATTGGTTGCCTTCCCATGCCCTGATCAGGGCCAGGAATCGAGCCTGAAACCAGCGTACATGCCCTTGACCAGAATCGAACCTGGGACCCTTCAGTCCGCGGGCCGACACTCTATCCACTGAGCCAAACCAGCTGGGGCTGCTTCCAAGTCTCAGCTGCTGTAAGTAACGTTGCAGTGAACACAGTGGTGCATATATTCTTTCGAATTAGTTGTTTCAGTTTCTTCAGACATATTCCCAGAAGTGGAATAGCTGGGTCATAAGGCAATTCCATTTTCAATTTTTTGAGGTAACTTCATACTGCTTTTTCCACAGTGGCTGCTTCAATCTGCGTTTAAAAATGACTTGTTTGGGCTCACACATTCCCAGTTGACAAGTGCTAGGATTGCTCTGGCTAATAGCGAGGGCGGGTCAAAAATCACTGCACAGCCTTTGCAGTGGGGATGAAAGGAGCAGAAGTACACAGATGCGATCTATTTTTAACCCACTGTAAAGTTTCTGAATTTAAAAGGATCTAAATAAGATTACAGGCTGACCTCCCAGTCTGTGCCAGGATTTCAGTTGTAATAACTCTTGGAAATAACAGAATGTTTTGCCAGCTTCAAAGCATCTTTGAAAATCATGAATTAATCTACATAGAGTTCATATATGCATCTGCCAGGAAAACGGGTCCACCCCGAAGCCAAAGGACAGAAGCCAGACAGTCAGACTCTAAACCGCGCAGTTCACGGCCAGAATGGACGTGCCCATCTCCTTCCTGCTGTTCCCAAGGAGCAGCAACTTCTGTGGCAATGAGTGCTGGTGACGTGTGTGTGTGTGTGTGTGTGTGTGTGTGTGAAATAATGCATCGCAGGTCAGCTTCCCAGCGTTGTTCTGAGGCTCCTGTCTTGGGCTCCGGTGTTGAGAGTAGCCCAGGGTTGTTCAGTGGCCCTTCCTGACGGCTGGTTCATACAGAAACTTCCAGGCTAGACATGGCCTCTGACCTATTCCTCCCTCAGAAGCTCGGCCCTCATCCTGAAGAGAGACTGCAGTAACCAGCCTGGACCTTCAGGCCTGGTCAGTGAGGTCTGAGGCTGGCCCCAGGGGCTGTGTGTGTCCTTTCCCAGGCAGGTCTGGCCAACAGCACACCTGGAGCTCGGACCGCCTGCACCCTGCTCGCCACATGAGTTTCTCGTTTGTAGAGAGGCCAGTGTGTATGGGAGGAGGCCCTGACTCGCTCTTTGCCCAGCGATGTTCCACAGAAGAACTTATTCCTTAGCAAAAGGGCCGGCGACCAAGTATGTTTGAGAAACACTGGGTTAAACAGCAAATCAAGGCAAAACGTTTGCCACTGAGCTTCCCAGTGCCTTAATGTGCTCAGGGACTGCGCAGCGCTGCAGGCCCAGGTGGGAAGACCCTCCACCGTTGGTTTCCGTTGCTGTTTCGTGAACCACGAGACGCCACCTTTGGAAGTCACCCGTTTTAAGTGCTGCGGAGTGTTGCTGCCGCTCTCCCCCTGGTCAGACACGTCACGGTCCCAGGGTGAACTTTGCTTAGGAAGACGGCAGAATCCTCCTGGGCCCCAGACCGCTGTGCTCCTCCCCTTCAGGCCTCCACAGTTGGGGTCATAAAGATAACCCTCCTGCACACCAAGACCCATCTCACAGGAGGCTCCCCAGTCATGGGTTTTAAGGGGAAAGAATGTGTGTTCTCCCAGCAGCTGTCGGGATCCATCCGGGCCCTCGACCCCCAGCCCCCAGCTGCTGGACCTCTGCTCTCCGTTGCCAGGGGCGCCTCATCTGCCTACAGAGGGTGGGAGAGTCCCAGAGGGCTGGCCGAAGGCCCCTCCCATCCCAGTGTTCAGTGGGATGCTGGCTCTTCCCACTACTCCATGGAACTTGGCAAGGATTTATCTCTGGCCCGTGTATTCAGGGTTTCAACAAAATTGGGACAAACAGAGAGAGAGAGGAATAGCCAATAGGGCTTTGAGAAAGTAACTGTGGCTTCCTCTTTGAGGTGGAGGTGAGGCCCTCAGGAGAGAGTGACTCTGGAGAGGAGATGCAGGAGGCAGGTAGCTGTGGCTTCTTACCAGCCCCCTGGTCCTGCTTTCCACTGTTTCTCACTTACGGCCCAACGTTATGCAGCCAGCCTGTGCTCAGTATGTATCCTGGGGCCAGCCATTCTCATATGTAAACCTCACTAGGTAGGTTCTATCGGTGCCCCTGCTTTCCCACTGGGGAAACTGAGCCCTGAAAAGTTAAGCAGGAGGCGAGAACTCATACTCTTCTCTGTCCTCAGATGTCTTCCAGGAGAGCACCAAGGAGATGGGACACCAGGATCTGGCTCCGGCCAGTCTTCCTCCCAAGCCCCTGCTCCTCACCACATGCTCTGGCTCCAGGATGCTTCAGGCGTTTCCTTGGAAGTTAAATATTCATATGTCATTAATCCTTTTCTTCATGATGATTCGTTAGCACAGATATTTTCCCTCTCCCGTGTTGGTGCAGCTCATGAATGAATTCCATGCCTACACTAGCCATGGAGGCAGCCAGTATGAGGGACATCTCCCAGGGCATCTGCTGGTACCCTGTCTGCTTTCCTGGGACTTGGCCCCACCGCTCACTGGCAGAGCGCAGCCCCACCCCCCACCCCACCCAACCTCTGCCAGGAGAGGAAATCTGTGTTTGGCATTGAACTGCCTCTTCACATCACACCTCTGCATCAACAGTCATTGCTCTCTTGCCACTTGCTGGCCCACTCTCCCCTCCAGGGCCTACTCCGCCCCCCATCTCCCACTCAGGACTCACTGAATGGATGCTGAGCCTGGGAGAAGCAAAGACAGAGCCCGATGAAAGGCAGGCGTCCCTCTGGGATCCTTGTGCACAGGGAACTTCAGAGAGCCCTAGAGCTGGGCTACCCTGCCCCTGGACTCCACGCTGGTGTCACAGATGACGTTAGTTCACATCGCCCAGGGGCAGTGTCTGTAGATCCGGTGTGGCTGAGGGCCATGGAGAAGCTGGTGAGAGATGTGCTAGGTCAGGAAGTGGGGCCGGCAGACTTTCCCACAGGGAGCTGCAGGTGCTTCACCACAGGTCACAGAAAGAACGGGAGAGGGTTCCCAGGCCCCTAGCACACGTCTTCACTCCGTACCTTTCACACACACTTCTGTGGCTTCGTTTACACCACATGTGTCAAACACAAGGCCCGCGGACCAAATCCGTCCCGCCAGGCCTTGCAATGTGGCCCGCACCGCGCTGTCATCACTGCACTCCGCTGCGTTTCCATCACAATGACAGTTTATGACTGTTCAGTAAACCATTCGGCCCGCGATTTAGGCTGGATTTTAGATTTTGGCCCCTTCTCTGATTGAGTTCGACACCCCTAGTTTACACATTGTTTTACAACGATACACGTTGGGTATCTTTGCCCAGTGTTTCTAGCTGCACAACTTGATCCACTGCACAGTAGGGATCAAGATATCAATTCATTGGCCCTGGCCAGTTTTGCTCAGTAGTTAGAGCATAAGCCAAAGGACTGAATGGTCTCGGGTTCTATTTCAGCTGCAAGCTTGATCCCCGGCCCTGGTTGGGTCGCTCACATCAGTGTTTCTCTCTGTGTGTCTCTCCCCCTCTCTTCTACTCTCTAAAAATCAATGGAAAAAATATCCTCAGATGAGGGTTAACAACAACAAAAGATACCAATTCATTGGATTGCAATCACTTTTTTTTTAAAATAATAATAATAATAAAGAACAGACTAGCAAGGTGAAACAGAACAATCCAGTGCCTGCATACACGCATATGATTTAAATGTATCTCTCGCTGTAGGCCACAGTGAAAAGAACGTGAAAGCTGTGGCTGGGAGGATGGAGGGCTGATCTGGGTCCATTTATTTCTGCTTCCTCAACACGCAGGCAAGTCTCCATGGCTTTACTCACAGCAGGCGCTCGCTGAAGGTCCGGAGGGTGGCCCAGTGGTCAGCTAGCGTCACTGGCTCCTTGTTCCGACTTTCTGCCCTTAACACATTGCGGACCAGGAGTTTTATCGCTAGCTTTACCCTGTGGCCAGATAAGTTTCTATTGAACCAGTACAAGAACATTTTACGTAAATGCTAAAGGCACGCTTTAAAATTAAATG